CCAAGAAGTCACGATATACCCTCATGTGCGTACTCTAATGTGGATATGCCCCCCCCCTCCCCCGTGATAACAGTAGGGAAACGGTATGTGCGTAATTCTGAATTGGATTTCTTTCCACACTGAGAATAGAATCAAAAAGAAAAAAAAAAATGTGCGTATTCTAACGGGGATATGTATATATTTTTTTTATTTTTTTTTATTTTTTTTTTTTTTTTTTTTTTTTTTTTTTTTTTTTTTGTCTACATTAACGGAGGTAAAGGTTGAAGGGTTTACACACACGGATATGTGGATATGTACTTACTGTTTTCTTATGATTTATGTATGTGCCATAGATCTTCCTTGACACGTTTAGTAAACTTTACAGTGATTGATCAATTCTTTTTATTATGCTTGGGAAGACAAAGGGCGCGGATGGGGGGGATGAGTCACCTTTTTTGTGGGCGAGGTGAAGAATAGTCGCAAGATATATTTTATTTTTTATTTTTTTTTAAAGCAAGGCATGTCATCAGTTCCCGAAAAGATCGACTGAACCGTTCCTGGGAATTCGCTGAGCGTGGAATTAAGGGCGGGGTAGGGAGGGAGAAGGGGAGGGGAGGGAGAAGGGTGGGTGGGGAAGGTGGTGGGAAGGGGAGGGAGAAGGGTGGGGGGGAGGGGGAGGGGGTGGGGAGGTTATCGATAAGGGTGAGTGCGACCGCGCCCTTTTACAAAGCTCCCGGAAGATCGTTTACGCTCCGTATCTGCCGCCCGTTGAAATCCCGGCAGGTGCTACGGGTCCTGCGCGGCGGAAACAATGCGTCGGGAGTGCCTTGCGTCGGCGAACAGGTGGAGGCGGCTGGGGGGAGGGGGGTAGGGGGGGGAGAGAGAACAATTAACAGGCGTGCAGGGATCGAGACGAGGGTAAACAAGACGGGCGTTAGGAAGGGGTTCGGAACTCTCGATCTCGCGTTCGATTCGGTGGCAGAGGTCTTGGCTTTGTTGGTCTTTTGTCTTCGTTGCATTGTTGATTGATTGCGAGGAATCTTGTTTTTTTTTTGGCCTTCTTCGATGCGTTTGTGGCGGGAAGTAATAAAAAGAGTCGCATATTGATAAATCGCAGGCTGTAGTGTAATGGACGGTGTGGTTAACATCTATATTTTGAGATTATTATGGTGTATTTCTTCTTTTTTTTCAACAAAGCAAGTCGGGAACAATGTGCCATAAATAAACAGAACAGCAGTTTGGGTAAACCTCCTCCTCGACTCTCGACAGGGACTTCCGGCCAAGGAGGCGTTTTGAACTCGCCTTCTTTCATCATCATCTCCTTCTTGTTCTTATTCTTCAACCTCCTTCTTCTTCTTTTCATTCTCTTGCACCTCCTTGTTCTGCTTCTTTTTTTTTCCTTTTCTTCTTATTCTTGTCTTTCTTCATTTTCTTTCTCCTCTCTCCTCTCCCTTCTCCTTCTTCTTCCTCCCCTCTTCTCTTCCTCCTCCTCCTCCTCCTCATCATCATCATCATCATCATCATCATCATCATCTCCTCCTCCTCCTCATCATCATCATCATCATTCTCCTCATCCTCATAATCATTCGCCTCCTCATCCTCATTCTTCTCCTCCTCGTCATTCTCCTCCTCCTCCTCATTCTCCTCCCCCTCCTCATTCTCCTCCTCCCCCTCCTCCCCCTTCCCTTCCTCTTTCCTCCTTCCTCTTTCCTCCTTCCACCCTCACCCCCCCCTCCACCTCCCGCGCGGAAGCTCGCAGAAAACCTCTCATGCTTTATAAAGATGGAGTGTCAACCGTTCAGTATTGTGACACTGTCAAGCGGCCACCATATGTTGTGCTCACATTTATGGTGTCTTTTTCTCGGGGTAAAGCCGTTGCTTCCCAGGCTCGCTTGTCTGTTTCCTACCGATGACGTCACGTGTTTTCTGTTGGTTACGTCATCAGCGTTCTATTTTTTTTCCCACTTGCTTCCGAAAGGTATACTTGTCTGTGTTATGTCATCATTATGTTAGTGTTTGTCTTCCAGTGGCGGTAAATTTTTTCCCTGTTTTTGTTAGCGTAATGTGGTATGGCGATGGGGTTGTAATGCGCATATCGTTTGGCATTTGTTTTATGGACGCGTCAGGGTTATTGCGTAAGTAACTCGGTTTTAACTTTCCTCGTACGCTGTTATGTCATCTGATAAAAACGTATTTAATTTAAGTTGGAAATGTAACCCTTGTTGCATTGTGTAATTCTTGGGAATATTTGGAATAGAGTAAAAAGAAAAAGAAAAAAAAGTGTCTATAAATAGCAGTGTACGTAAAACTGTCTGTCTGACTTTTAAGCAAGCGTTGCGTTTTACTTGGGCACATTTGGGAACGAAGATTTATTTGTTTGTTTATGTTTTTTTATATAGAGGGCGGCAATAGAAAAAGATTATATAATGTGATGCCGCTCTTCGTTTGTCTGTTATCTACTGCTTCTATTCTACTCTCTCTCTCTCTTCTCTTCTCTTCTTTCTTCCTTCTCCTTTCTTGATCTTTTCCTGCTCTCTCTCTCTCTCTCTCTCTCTCTCTCTCTCTCTCTCTCTCTCTCTCTCTCTCTCTCTCTCTCTCTCTCTCTTTCTCTCTCTCTCTCTTTCTCTCTCTCTTTCTCTCTCTCTCTCTCTCTCTCTCTCTCTCTCTCTCTCTCTCTCTCTCTCTCTCTCTCTCTCTCTCTCTCTCTCTCTCTCTCTCTCTCTCTCTCTCCTGCTTCTGCTACTACTACAGGTACGAGTTTTGATACTGCTTATGTTACTGCTACTAATAATACTCCTGCTAACATCCCATTGCTACTGTTGCATGTATTATTGCTACTGCAAATACGATTACTCCTTCCACCACCGATTGAAAGATAATCATAAATTATATTGTAATACTTTGCAATTATTAGTTATTATGACACCAGCAAGTACATTAAAGTAATCGGTTGAAAAGCCATCATGAAAGAAGCTGCAATTGCATTCCAATAGGTGGTTGCAGCGGCGTGGCGGTTTGTCGCCGTGAAAGTGTTTATGTGAAAGGTTTCGGTAAATGAGTAAGTCTGAGTGTAGGTGTAGATGTGGGTGGGTGTGTGGGTGTGAGTTTGTCGACGCCTGTGCGATTCTGTGAGAGAGAAAGGGGGAGGGAGGGAGAGAGAGAGGGAGAGAGAGAGAGAGAGAGAGAGAGAGAGAGAGAGAGAGAGAGAGAGAGAGAGAGAGAGAGAGAGAGAGAGAGGAAAAAGAAAGAAAGAAAGAAAGAAGATAAAGGAAAGGAAAGATAAAGAAGAGAAGAGAAGAGAAGAAAGACAAAGGAATAAACTGGACGAAGACCATGTAGAATGAACCATTCTTGCATATTTTTATTGCAAATTGCAGGACATCTTACTGGCTAGCACGCAAGGGTCACATTGCGGTAAATTGTCAGTACCAACATTCTGCTTCGTTGACTAGCACTTTATAAATAGGAAACTTATGATAGTCGAAAAATTCTTGTTTTTTATACATTTGTTGTTTTATGTTGTTATTAGTATTAATATTAAGCTGTTATTGTTTTAGATGTTTTTTAAAGGTTGTGTTGATGTAACAATTGTAGTTCCCGTTGTGTATTGGCCGATAAGTATATGATTGTGGTTGTTATTATCACTGTTGTTGTTGTTACTTCTGAGTTTCTTTGCCACTGTCATTATCAAAATGACAGTGGCAAAGAATCGTATTTTTTAAAGCTATTCCTAAGCAATGATAGCAATATGATTATCAGCGTAATAATCGCTATGATAATAGTAATAATAGTAACGGTATTAGTAGTTATTCTTATCATTATTGTTAATGTTGATGTTGTGTTAATTGTAAATATGAAAATGGTAGTTACGGTAGTAATGATAGTAATAATGATTTTGATTTTTTTGTAGAAATTATTATTATTATTATTAATACTGTTATCGTTGTTGTTAACGTGAATTATCATTGTGAATTCCGTTTGATTGCTGTTACTGTCATTACTTTTACTTCAATCTGAAAGTGGTGGTGTACGCGAGTTCTTTTTGGCATTATCGTTATTACTGTAACTAGTCTATTACTGCTATTACGAGCGACAGTATGTTTCTTTTTGCGTGCGCTTATGCGTGCGAGCGTAGGTTCGTTTGTATGTGTTTGTGATTAAGTAATCGTGTCTGTAATTTGGCCCTGTTGTATTCCTGCTATTAAAAGAATTATACAAGCCGGTGCCTGTCGTTAAAGCTATAATTACCCCGTCATTATTAGATCGTTCGATACCTACCCAGAGACCCAGCGTTCGCAAGCGGTGTGGCAACAGCACCGATACATCATACTTCAAGCAAGCAATCACGGACGTCAGACCGGGTGATTTGACACAAGTATCTACCAGCAATAGCCAAATAATAAACAACAACAAGGACATCAAAACCACAACATGAACAACAACAACATTGACGACGACGGAGCGAGGAGTTGGCGAGTCCAAACAGCTGTTTTCTGGGCACGGTAACAAGCCAGCAAAGCCTACTATATAGAGGAGGTCTTTACACACTCCCCCCGCCGTCTCATTCGTCGCCGGGTTCGCATAAGTGGGGTCTGGGCCGCCGTGGGAACGTCTTTGGGTGCTCGCATGTGTTGGGGGGGAGGGGAGGGGAGGAGGGGGGAGATGAAGATGTTGGAGGGGTGTGGTGGTCTCGTAGTGGGATGTGGGGAGTGTTTTGGGTAGGGGGAAGGAGGGGGGAGGTTTGGGTAAGGGGAAGGAGGGGGGAGGTTTGGGTAAGGGGGAGGAGGGGGGAGGTTTGGGTAGGGGAAGGAGGGGGGAGGTTTGGGTAGGGGAAGGAGAAGGGAGGTTAGGGTAGGGGAAGGAGGGGGGAGAGGAGGTTGGCACTTTCTCTCTCGGGCTGGGTGGGTACTTCCCCTCCGTCGCTTATGATGACATATCCTCTCTCTGCTGGTTGACTCTCGACCCCCACTTTTTTCTTGTTATGTGCGTCTTTCTCTCTCTCTCTCTCTCTCTCTCTCTCT